ATTAGAGTTGATTGTTGTTGTGACTTTATTTTAACTTGTTTTTCCAGTAAAATATCGGCGGGATAAACGGTGAATCCTAGCAGTCCTTAAACTGTTGTTCAAAGATCCATTCATTGTTTTTCTTGTGTTTTTATTTGTTTATTCATATATTTATCTTGTGTAATTTATTGATTCTTTTCTTTCATTTCAACCAGTTTGTTCAGTTTTGTCACATGCAGAATCAGGGTGAGTGGAGAAGTTATCTCACACAGATTTTTTTAACTGACATTCGCAGTCCACTTAAGTCTTTTAGTCATTTTTTTTATTATTTGACCTTCATTTTATCAGGTAAAAATGTTTGAGAGCCAGTTCTCATTTGCAAACATGACCTGGCCAAGAGGCGCCAGCAGGAACAAATGCACATGTAAATTACAGACACAAGTAGACATAAAAACATAAATAGAACAAAAGTAAAGAGGTAAAAATAAAATGTTATAGGATTTAGTTGATGCTAACTTGCAACTACTGAATCTTTACCTTTCTCACATTTCACATGGTCGCGTTAATACGATCAGATGACACAGAAACGTTCCGCCATTAAGCCTGACAAACCACCAAATTCTTCAGTTAATATTATAGAGTTGGCGTGCTTTTATTATGAAGGACCAACAGGAAGTGTGACGTATGTGTAATTCCGTTTACCTTACGGTAGCTGTCGCTAGCTAGTTGCTAAATAATAATTAGCGAGTTAATTTCACTACAATCAAGTTATTTTGTTGGGTAGTAAAACATTACACCTCAAACCAAAATGCCGTGTATCTTACCGCTGTCGTCACTGACTTCGCTATTTTACGGCTACAAAACAATCTGCGCCGGGGAAGAACCGTGTTAGCATTCCTGCTAGCTCAGCTAACCCCGCTGCTCAGGCCAGTGCTTCTGTGTCTGATAACTGTTTAACAACCCTTAATAAACCTGCTTTTCAAAAACAAAACTCATATTAAACGGAGTCTAGCATCAAATTTGTGAGCATCGTTTTACAGAAGGTCGCATTCAAACAAAATCATTTGGTAATTTTCCGTCATAAAAAAAAAAATCGTCATAATGTTATTTTATTTTTTAGGGTAGTTTCAGGAAGTGTAGCTGTTCTGTAATTTCACTAGCTTTACTTACATGTAGTTGCCGCCTGTGGCCACTGGAGGGCAGAAGCGCCCCCTGTACTGGGGGCTGCAGCGCTGCAGCTGCCAGTGAACAAGAGGCTTTTATTAGCGGAAGTCAGACAGTCACACATTAGAACTACAGCTCTGTCTCCAGGAGAGGATTCATTGTTTGTATGGATGTAATGAATGTCATGAATGTAATGAATGCATGAGGGAATGAATGAATGAAAGAAAGAAAGAAACTGACTAAGGTTGCTGTAATAAAGCGATCCGTGACAAAGCAAACGGTCGTTAGCACTAAAGCTAGCTCAGCTAACACTGCCGGTGACTCCACGGATGTGGATGTAGGTTCGTAATTCGCTAGAATATCAATTAATTTGTTGTTTGGGCTTGACAAAACGAGAACAAAAATATTTAGAGCAAGTGGAGCTGCTAGGTAACGTTTTATTACACTTTGGTTTATTCAGTCTTTTCAAAATCACCTTGTCATTCTTTCGTTAATAACGATTAAGGCTTTTGTTTTACAGGAGGTACCCGGAAACATTGTGTCTTCTTAATTCGCTAACTTGACGGAAACTGCAGTTATCACCTGTGGCCACAAGAGGGCCTCAACCCTGTTTTAACTAATAAATCACTATCAGATCATTTTAGTTTTCGACTCTGCAGACATTTAAACATCAACATGATGTTTTTATACAGATGTACTTCATATTTTTCACTTGCAGCTATTTTTAAAAATTATTTCCAATATATTTTAGAGCTGAAAACTCTGAAGAAGGTGATTCACTTCGAAAAAAGAAAAAAAGAAAACTGTATTCGTCCCCTGGGCGCAGGTCAAAGGCAGGAGAGCAGCTGGACACAGAACGGTAGCAGCAACGGTACAATACAGGAGCAGCATGAGGTCGTTCAAATTGGACAATTAAAGATAAAAGTGGAACATGCTGAGGTGAAGATGATGCTGAGCTCGTGTCCTGATCATCCAGTCCGACAAACTTGTTCCTCTCGTTCCTTTGCTTATGTGATAAACTGACCATATAGCAGATGTTTGTGCATTTATTTACACTTCTGACAAAATCCCATTGAGTACTGGCTGTCCCAACAACGTACAATCATCAGAATCATCTTGTGCTGCTCGGGTCATTGTTTCAGTAATAAAACGTGCTTTTAAGTAAAAGAATAATGAGAATGTTTAATCTCATCGTCTTCATGTTTTTGAAAAATAGGTACACCTGTCACAGATTGTTGTTTTTAATGCATGAAGTCAAAACATGTCGCTTGTCACTCTATAAAAGGTCAGTTTACCCAAATTACAATAAAATAAAAATTAATTAAAATAAAAAGAAAAATCTGGTGAACCATCATGTACTATTGAGCTAAATTAAAGGTGTTCAGACTGTGTAAGTATTTTTTGCTTGTTTTTTATTTCTCATTGATAGTATTTTGATGTGTAGACATTTTAAGTTTTATTCCTTGAGTGCAGTTTTCAACCTTTTTTTCGATATGCAGACTAGCTTTCCCCTTTAAAATCTAATCTAGTGGCTCTCCTATGTCATATGTAGAACTATTATGGAACATTTAAAAATATAAAAGTGAATTTAAACTCGTAGTTGCTGAAAATGATGGAGATAAACGATCAAAACACGGCCCACACCGGGCCAAAACAGTGGGCGAGTCGGCCCCGGTGATTGACAGCTCTCTCGGCCAATCGCATGCACGGATAGAATAGCGCGGCCCAATCAACATTCGCGAGGCAGGAAAAGGTTGGTTGTGTTCCACTGAGGAAATTCTTGTGCCGTTGAGTCACCGGGAAAACCGTTACTCGAGCGAGAAAGCCGACACTCTCATCCCGATCGGGCTCCTCGGTTCTTCAGATTTCCTAACCCGGGTCTTACAGCAGTCGCACCGCCCACGCAGTCCTCTCCACGGGGTTGAAATGTTACACTTTCGGTCCACGGTAGCGCTCAAGGAGTTGTTTCAGACGCAGCTGAAGCGGCCGCTGACGGGGAGAGTTGGCGTGAAAGCGGCACCTGCATCCGCCGTCTGCTTGGATGGCAGGTCGCCGGGCAGAGGGAGGGCATTTACCGGCTGGAGAGCCCCGCCGCACTTCGCTCGAAAGAACGGCTTGAGAGGCTTTTGCTCAAAGGGTGACGGCCACAATGAAGCCTCCAAGGACTCTGCAACAGAGAAGTGAGTAACGTTAACCCACGGTGAGCCGGACTCCATGGGGAAAAAGGGATTTTAAACAGCGATCATTAGCGATGGCAGACTGTGAAGACACATGGGAGCCATTACTTAAAGTTTCTTATTTTAAAAAGCAAATGCGCATCTACGCACAAAATAGATGCCGAATTAAAGAGTGATGTCTAATGTTACCTTGTGTCTGTAACACCTGAGTTTATGTTGTAGCGCTTTCATTTTAAAGCAAGGCCAATTTTAACTTGTGCATCTTCACTACGATGTTCGGCGTTGAGCTCAGAACGCAGTGGATAGCTGTTAGCTAGCTAGCTAGCTCCGATGCTGCTCAGTTGGAATGACGAAGTAGCCGGCCAGCTCAAGGCTAGCCAGCCCCGTGGTTTGTTATTGCCGGACAACTTTGCATGTCGGGGCTGTTGTTGAGGAGAAAGATGGCCACAAGTGACCGGCGACACCTCCGGGGTCAGTACGGAATGCAGCTCCGTGCGCACCGGCAACTAGCAACGGAGGTAAAGCGACGAGATCCATTATCGGACGTGCTTGCTCGCTTTAACGCTGTACAGTAATTCAAATACTACGAGTACGCACGTTTTGGTGACATTGCCTGCCCGTAAAACAATGCAGTTCCAACAAAATTGTACTACAACAAGAAAACAAATAGGGTGTTAAAAATGAAGTCCTGTCCGGAAATGGAAGCATGTCGTGTGCAGCGAGCCAGACGTCGTGACCAGCCGCAGCAGCAGCTTCAGCTGTCATCCTCTGCCAGTGTCTCACTCAGTGAGGCATTAACCTGTCAACGGGGTTTTGTGCCTTGAAAATGTTAATGTCACCGTAAAAACAAAGGCTGTGTGTGTTTCTCCAAACGCACCATGTTTTGATGCCCCTGAACGTCACACAGCAAACCTGAGCTCAATGTCTAATGAAGGTCAGCGTGGATGGCATGTGGGAGAGCAGCTAGCCCTGGTTTTATCACTCAGTGTGTTCATCCTTTATGATATGTGTACAGTACGACAAAAGACAAGAAGCAGAATCAAGCAGCTCGCTGCGTTCGTGAAGATTTTGTATTTAAATATGTTTAAATTAATTTACAAGTCTAAAAACATCAGTGAACACACTTCAGCTCCAAAAGCATCACTTCTGTCTGACGCGGACTAAAACCAGAAGAATAAGGGATAGGGAGAGATTATTAGCTGTGTTGTTAGGTGAGTAGAAAAGTCTTAATTTGAGTCAGTCTGCTGGATGTTCAGCTGATGGAGAGACGAGGATGAGAGTCCTTCATCGACTGGACGCAGGGCAAAAGCATTTACTGACCAGAAACACCACAACAGACTGATACGGCCTCTGTAGGTCCACTTGAAGCCCACTGACAGCTGTCAGGACAGGGATCCTCTTGGGAAGGATTTATTGTAGCCGGAGTGCTGCGTCATGTTGGCAGTGTTTGTTTCTCAGGAAGGCGAGCAGCTCTTCATCAAAGCCCAAACCCGGATCTCTGTGTTGCTCTCTGGGTGTACAAATGGCCTCTGGAGTCTTCCCTTAGCACCAAAACCTGTTGTTGTGGCGTTCTTGTCGTCTCGTGACTCCACATTGGCGATTACTTGACTGTCAAAAGACGACTCTGACAATCGCTTTGGCATTTATTCAAGCAGAAATGCCGAATACGTGACGGTTTTCAAATGGGGGGGATTGGCTGCTTTTTGTTTCCTTATAGTACATTAAAATAAACTGATTTGGGTTTTGGACTGTTGGTGGCACAAAAAGACATCTGAAGACATCACAGTGGCCTTTAGTGTTTTATTTACCACAATCAACAGGAAACAGTGCTGAGTCTTGTTTCCTCTGGTCCCAGGTGACAGATTTAAATTGGCGCTTATATCTGAGCATCAGCCAGAATATCACAGTTTATTATATGAGGCCAAGAAAAGCAGCAGAGCCTTACGTAGGAGAAGCTCGGAGCAGGAAGGGACTCAGTTTCTTTGCTTGAGAAAAACACAATCCATCTATGATCGTAGCAGTTACGTCCTCAACTGAAGCCAGATGTTCAATGCTTCAGGGATGACTTTGACAGGTTATCGATTGACTGTCGTCACATCTGTACGCCAGCAGCTTCCTGTCTGATGCGTGTTATTTTAGTGAGACGTAAATCAGCCCTGAATCCTCCTCTGCAAACACTCTGCACCAGCCGGATATTCACCGACCGTGGTTCAACGAATCCAGGTCCGTTAGACTTTAAAGGTGCAACGATTAGTGTTTTCTGTCCACATTAAATCGTCAATAAACTCTTGAAACATCTTGAAACATCTTGTTGTATATGAGCAACAATCCAAGAGTCAAAGAAATTCAGTTTACTGACGTGTTACGAAGCAGGAAACGGCTGATGTGTGACCTTTTTGATGACGTTAGGAAACTGTTTGCTGATGAGTTTTGCACACAGTCAGCCTAAATGTTGGACTTTTATCTTTGTTAACAAGCAGATTCTTGTCAGTGTTTTGGACTGAGCTGGTGTCAGTTGTAACCTCAGAACCGGAGAACAGGCAAACCCTGGCGTTCATGCTGACGAGTTCAACTGTGTTCAGAAGTTGGCGGTTTGCTGCGGCGCTGCAAAATGCACATTTACAAGTGCAAATGTCAGAAAATTAAGACCACGCGACAGTTTGAGTCCTGTTTTCAGCGCAGAGAGCAGCTGTGACACCAGCCACCAACACCAGCCCGTAGCCTCGCTGCACAGTTTCCATGCTAATAAAATGCCTCATTGCCCCTGCAGGACAGAGTTGCCCCATTTGTTTCCGTTCACGGACAATTTGCTTAAGCTATCGGCCGTGTCCCAGCAGTCGCTTTGCTCAGCTGACTGGTTGACGATAAATGACGATGAATCGGGATGAGCGGCCAGGTTCAGCGTCCTTCTGAAGAACGCTTCGACTGCTGTTGAGGAACATGTCGGGTTTCTATTACCGGTTCTTGGAAAGCAGTTCCAAGGGGCACTGAGTCATGTGATCATGTCGACCCCGTGGTGGTTGCCAAGGCGCTGCATCACAACACATCCAAACAAAGAGCTCGCGAGCGCTTTGAGCTTGAAGAAATTCCACCGTGGCATTTAGTGTGATGGCTGGAATGAGGAAAGCAGCACCAATCATCAGCGAGCAAACAAATCCGTTTATTGTGTTTGTCGACCGAACAGGGACCGATTCCAGCATCTCCAGTGTGACCATTAGGTGCTTTTCTGTTTCACATCATCATGAAATGAAAATGTTTCTGGTGTGAACTGTTCGTAGAGCCACTAGTCAGTTCGTTAATCGACTAAACAGCTGTTTGGACATTTATCAAGCGAAACGCCAGATATTCCCAGATCGTAGAGCCCCTAAACGTTAAGATCTGCTGCCGTTCTGTGTTTTAAATTGTCGAGTCTGATTATCTTTGGCCAGAGCTTTAAAATCTGGTCGATTAACGGATTCGTGTGGGATGATTCTCATGACTGTGGCTTGGTAGATCGAACAGAGTAATAAGAAAACATCTCTTGAAATTGCGATGAGAATATATCTTTATTTTTTTTAACTTCATGTATTGATTAATTCGGGAAACAATCTGCAGATGAATAGACAGTGAGAGTGATTGTGAGCTGCAGCCTGAAACATGAGAGAGACATCTGTTCAAATGATCCAGCAGCGTGTTCAACAACAGATGAATTGTGAACCTTGTCCACGAGACGCATGGAAAAAGTGAATAAAACACTGAATGTACCAACGTAAGCAGTAAGTATCGGACAAAAGTAGACCGCACATGAGTCAACGAGGATAAACAGAACATGTGCCAGCGGGTCGGGTGAAAATGTTGACTAGTGGCATCGGTAGTGCTGGACTCATCGCACCACATGAAGAATGAGCAGCTTCCAAAACAACATGAACAAAACCTGTAAAACGTCTCATTCAAGGCGGCTGTTTGACAGAACGCAGCCTCGGCTCCAGTCTGGCCGTGGGGGTCCTGAGGCTGCGCTCCGGTTAGCGAGAGGTTAAAAATGTCAGTAATGCAGGCGAGCTCATCCCATCATTTCTCCACAGTTTAGTTTTTTTTTTTTGCTCTAAAGCCTGCGAGCTGGCGTGCTGCCCGGCGCTTGTCACGGCCTCCAGGAGCAGACGAGTCGCTCGCACAGATTGATTGTGTTTGTGCAGCGCCGCCTCTCAGCACTCCGGCTCTAACGTCTGCCTCCACCCAGCTCCGGTTTGTCGTGACATCTGCGAGGCAGCGAGACCAGCGCCATCGATCGGATTAGATAAATACAACGGATGCCACCGACAGCTCTATCAGCAGACCTCCAGCGGTCAGTGGGAGCATCTCTGGATGCCTCTCCAAGTGTGTCTAGTTAGAACGATTCAACTAATCGCCAGCCAGTTTGATTAATTAGATGAGAAAAAAAATGCTAAATTCTGCCTATTTTGCATTTGAATGATGAACGTTTTTCACTGTCTTCTGGCGTTTTATCGAGCAAACAACCACCAGATTACATCGCAGAGCCAACGCACGTCAGGTGTGCAGATTGTGTCCGCGTGCAGGTTTAAAACACATCTGCAGCACATTGTTTTCAGCGTCGAGCCACAGCTGACCTTTAAAAACAGATACGGGACGAGGAAGCACTAATGAGAGCAGCTGAGGTGGATTAATGAGGCGGTCCAGATGTTCCAGTGCCCACCTCTGTCCTGCTGCTGCTCCCAGAGGTGGATCTCAGCGGCCTCATTAACAAAACAAGGATATGGCGTGCAGCCTCCCATGTCCGCCTGATGTTACCTGAGCAGGTGTCACTGGGTTTATTTATTGTGATTATTTTTAATGTTGCTGCGGCGTCTCAGAGCAGTGATGCTGTTCGCTAATCCGTCACTCGCGGAGCAAATTCACGGCTCGTGCTCATTTCATTCGTGCATGTCTTTGTGTTGTTAACTTGTTGTTTTGACAGCATCGTTCCAGTGTCGATGCTGCGCTGAATAATCTGGACGTTGGTGTTCATGCTGTTGCTGATGAGCGAACTGTAAATGTCACTGTTACTAATTCAGTATTATTCCCTCTGCACACTCTCTCCCTGTTGTTGATCTGCTTGCTTTGCATTTGTAAGTATGTTTCTATTTTTTTTTTTTACATTTATTTTAGTTGTAGTGGGTTTTTTTCACTTCTGAAAGAATCCATCTTCCAGTAGAAGTAGAGGTTTTCTGTGGAAAGCCGATAACCGCTTTTACCTCCAAATGACCTCACTTCCTAACAGTGGCTGCGCTTACCTCCCCTCTACCTCCCCTCTACCTCCCCTCTACCTCCCCTCTACCTCCCCTCTACCTCCCCTCTACCTCGCCCTCCGTCCTCCCCTCTCCCTCGCCCTCCTCCCGGCCCACACACTCTCTGATGTGTATTCCTTCCTCACCAGCAGGCATCAGCCTTCATTAATGAGATCAGAGACGGACCACGAACACTGAAAGGACGCGACAACATGCCAATTCAGACGGCATGTGAACTGTTCTTAGTGTCAATGCTGCGTTCCACACGTGTTGAAAAGTCAGAATGTCAGGAGTTTAAAAAAAAACAACAAATTTAAAAAATCAGTCGAGAGCCATTTCAACACGACTTCTTGATCAATCCAAACCACTTTCAGCAGCGAGCGCCGTGCCGTCGTTCTGACTTGCGACACTGCGTGGAACCATTAACTGTGTCTCGGTCTGACTCGGTCCCAGCGTTCCCTCTGCTGTGTTCTGCAGCAGTGGTGCTCAGGAGAACCCGTTGATCCAAACTGACGGCATCACAACTGGAGTCCAGCAGATGCAGACTACTTACTTTCTCACATCAGCTGACGGCGTGAAATAAATGCACGAAACGCTTGAAGTTCAAGAGTAGCGATCTGCGTGTTCTGGTTGGACACGTTTAGCTCAAAGGTTTCACCGTTAACCGTCTGAACCCCAAACTGTTCCTGATGCTTTTTGGCTCCTGTCACACTTTTTTGTGGGTATTGGATTTATGTTTTTGGGGGGGAGGGGGAGGGCTTTTTTTTTGCCTTTTTTAAACAGACAGACAGGAAAAGGGGGCACAAGAACGGGGAGAGACCTGCAGCAAACCCACGACCGCTGCATCAGGGAGCTGTAGCCCCGTTCATGGGTCGCCCGCTGTCTGATTTTTTTACTGCAACGAAAGTCCTGCAGCTCCGTGGAAACCGTGTAGAGACGTTTGTTTTATTTTTCCAAATAAAAGTCCCTACAAGTGTTAAAAAACGGAGGCTTTACATGCTGTAGATGTTCTACAGTTTTACAAACGAGGCATTTTTGGTTGCCGTCGAGTCACTTTGTGTTTTTTTTTTTTTTTTACAGCATCTGGTGCAAGTAGTTTATTTTTTGGCATGTTTTTGAATGAGAAGTACAGAATACAGTGATTCTGAAGGACAGTTTGGTTGTGGACACAAACTTTTCGGCGGTTTCGGGGTTCAGAGTCACAGCGGTTTATCTCACGACGTCTTGCTGGTGTGAAGGATGTTTGCATCTCACAGCGACCCAGTTCATGTTGCGTTACAATCATGCGAGAAGATGGTTCGAAGCTTGAGTCAATCATCTGATAAGACTTTTTGTTTATTAAACAAATTTGGCTTGTTGTCAGATGTTCCACCTCTTCCTGATGGCCACTGCTGAGGATAAATCCAGAGGAAACCCTGCTAATGCTGAAATTACAAACTGCCAGATTTCTGCTGTCACATTATTTGTGTTCGGCTGCTGAGAGGAGCCGTCCGCCGACTCCAGCGTTACCTTCAGACATCCTCTCCTAGCGTGCAGGCCAAAGCCCCATGATGCATTGCAGGACAGCGTGAGCCTGGGCACCCAGAGCTTTGCACAAATCCAATTTGGTGCTGGTATGAATCATAGCAGAGAGCCTGCTGTGAGCTGGCCGCCCCGTCTGCCTCCTGACACGCTACTAACTTTCCTCCAGAGACGACGTGGTGTGGAGACGCTGCTCAGAATACCAGCCCGGACACTTATCAGACATAGTTAAGAAGGATTACAGCGCTGTCAGGAATGTGTATAATTGACATGAGTCTGACCTTTAATGGCCCTCTGTTGCACTGACGGATAGAAAACGTTACGAAAATCAAATGCAAAGTGCCCTTCACGAGGTTACGAGGCTTCACATCAGACCCAGAGGTTTCCAGAGTTAAGTGTTAAATCTCAGCAGCCATGTTTCTGTAAATTAAAGCTTAAAAGCACGATGCACTTGATGGGAGATGGAAACCGTTCATTTCATTGCCGTCGTCTCCAGACACATGGAACGCGGTTAATACCAGAGAATGTGTTCCAGGTTTTACAGTTTAACCGTGATCGGCTGATGAGTTCACTGGGCTTTATTATATTAAAAAAATTTAACAAGACAAGTCGATGAATTTGGTCTTTTTAAAAAAATAATTAGGAAAAAAAAGGATTGCATCAGTCATTAACACCTTTCACTGCTGACTCGGCTCTGGAGGGCCTTCACAGACCTCCGGTGACCGTCTCGCCTCATCAATGGGTGTTTTTTAGGCGCCACGCTGCAGACGGTTGTCGTTCAGGAGGTTCCTGCTGGTTGTTTCCAGCCACTGAGCGACGTCAGGCCCAGGCCTCTCACAGATGGGGCTTTTATTCGGCTGAACTGCACCGACGCCTGCAAGCTGTCGTGAAGTCTTTGCATTTGTTTCGTCTCCAAACGAGAACTAAAAAGAAGGAATTAAGTGGATGATAAATTCTCTGCTTGGTTCAAAGCTTTGGGGGTTAAATCTCCTTTGTAAGACTGCAGAGTGAATCATTTACCTGCATGTTAAGAAGCCTTTTAAACACGGTCCTGGCTGGTATTCAAGTAGACAGTTAACAGTTTGCATTACTCTGGCCTTACTGCAGTAACACATGAACCTCTGGAAAAGTAAAAAGAGCAGAGACTTGGCTGTGTTTTATGTGAGTACACGTCTTTTCCACGGGTTGTCGTGCTAAAGTAAGGCCAGTGTGCGGTGATGTTTTGCGGTGCAGTGTTACAGTGTTCACTCACCGCTTCTCCTTGCAGTAAAAAAAAGCTTCTTGTCCTCCCTCTGCTGCAGCTCCCCTCCATGTTTCCATCTCAGCAGGCCCCGCTGCAGAGTGATTTTTCTCACTTTTCTGCCTGTGTTTGTGTATTTTTGTTTCCTGCAGGAGAAGGAAGGCAGGAATCCTGCCCAGCCTGGAGGATCTGCTCTTCTACACCATCGCAGAGGGACAAGAAAAAATCCCTGCACACAAGTTCACCACAGTGAGTTGTGAGGACGGGGAGAAGGTTTGATCATGTGTGTCTCAAACGTGTGCTTGGTAGCGACGGGAGCAACAACTGAGAGAAACCACAGTAAGAACACCCGGCGTTGTGATGGAAGACAAGCTGATTTAACCACAGCTGTCTGGAAATCTGTGGCCACTTTAACCCTCTGTGCCCCCAAACAGTGTCTGTGTTTAGTTTAGTTTACCTCCATGGAAACGGCACAGCCATGGCAAGAAGTAGAGGCGACCCACTCTGCAGTACGACACGGTTGCGATGCCATCAATCACACAAACCCGACAGAAAGCAGTTCCGTTTCTTAGAACTTTTCCTTTAAAACAACCTGGAATCAGCATGTAAAGCTTTTTTTTCCCGAGCGACCACAGGTGTGTCTGGAAAAGGTCGATTCATGTTTTTCCAGGACGATGTTTCACCGTGTTTAATATATCTTCAGACATCTTGCTCGTCTGTATTCAGTTTCTGAGCCACTCTACGTCTTTTTTTATTGACCGAGTGCATTTTGTTTTCATCTCAAACTCTCTCGCTGCTTCCTCTGCGCTCTGCTCATCACAGCCTGCCGTTCACACAAACAGACGCTGATTTTCTGTCACGTCGGTGTTGGCTGCAGTCCTTCACGGCTCCTCGGTTGCTCTGGCGAGTGCACATTTTGACAGCAAACGGGTTCTTTTTAGGTAATTCTCAAATGAAGGGATTTTGGGTTATTTTCCTACCAGAACAGAAAGTCACGCTTGTTCCAGACGTAGCATAGATATGCCTCGGACAGACGCTGAGTTGGCAGAGCTGTGAGATGCTTCTCATCTTATCCTAAATCCTTTTGTACTTCAGTATATTATTATTTTTATCTGGTAGATATTTTTTAAATAGTTTTGTGAATTGCTGCATTTCTGTAATTTTTAGTTAGTAATCGTAAGAAGCATTTTAATATCCAGAAAGACAGAAATAACCTAAAAAGAAAACACAGGATTTTGGAGAAGGTGTTGAAATCCATCTCCTCCCACGTTTCAGTTTGAGCTGGCAGAGCTAACGGAGGCTAAATGACGCCACAGCAGTGAAGTGACGTTTCCAGGCCCGGACGTTTCTCCCTTGAAACCCTGAACGATGAGAGATGCTGGTTGCTGCTACTGATTAAACTGTTGAGGTCATTAAACGTAGAGATAAAGCGCTAACTAAAATCACAAACAGGCTTTGAAAGCTCTGTGAAAACTAATGAAGTTGAAAGACGACCTCGCAGCATGTGTAACCTGAATCAGTTCTCCCCGTGCCGGCAGTAAATCAGCTGCTTCCCCCACTGCTGAGTTATGAGCTCGTCTTGTTCAGCCTCGTAGCTCTATTGATTTGTTGTCCGGCCGTCTTAATCACGACGTGGCCCTTCCCCCTCCTCTGTGCAGGCTCTTAAAGCCACCGGGCTTCGCACAGGAGACCCCCGGCTGAAGGAATGTATGGAGATGCTGAAGGTGACCCTGAAGACCACCTCAGACGGAGCCCTGGACCGGCACCTCTTCAAAAAGTAGGCTTTCCCTTCATTTGTTTGGTCACTGAACCACACACGTTCATTTTGCTTTGTCAACGGCAACACAGTCAAGTGTGCACACGGGAGTTTGTCATGTGGACACACAAAAAGGCCAGCGTTGGCTTTCACTGTCATGTTACAACACAAGTCTCTACATCAGCATGTTTCCTTGCAACAAACCCAAAGACAGGGAACTTGTCAGTCGTCTCTCCGTCCCGCTCGCTCTTCCACCTTCTGTTGCCGGCATCAATGTTTCATCACAGTCTCGGTAAGAATTATTAATGCTGGTCAGAGTCCTCCGCACGTCCCTGCAGCTGAAAAGGGTCACCGGGTGCCATTAATTATTCATCAGCCCTCAGTTTGCACGTCACCGGCTTCTCGTTGAGGTTTTCATCCAGCTGCATTTGATTCTGTAGCAGATTTGTGCGTCGTCGTACGGCAGAAAGAGCGGCCGATTTGTGATAAAAGCACAAACTCGTGTGCAAAACAACATGTTGGTGTCACTGATAAATGAAAGACACAATCAGATTTTGTCCCTGATGAAGCTGTCATTAAACTTGTGAGTCATATTTATATGGTAATCAGATTACATTAATAATAATAATAATAATAATTACATTTATGCATCCTATTTATATGGAAATCAGAGAGGGTTTAGCATCAAAACCCTGCTGTTAAACCAGGACTGGAGACCAGGACTGGGATGGGTGTGGCCTGAAACGACATGAACCGCCCCCGCCTTGTAGCTCGGCTGCTGTTTGCCCCCCCAGAGGAAACGGCAGCGCGACAGAAGTGGGTGACAGCTTGGGAAGTGGCAGTGTGGCGAGTCTGGGCATATGACGGCTCACCGGGGAGCTGAATCGTCACCGAGCAGACCCCAGCGCCAGCGCTCCTGGCCGGGATCCATCACTTCCGCTCCCCCGGCTTATTTATAGAGCTCAGCCTCACAGAGGGAAGCACGTGAGCGGCGCTGGGAGTGCGGTGTGTGTTTTCTCTGCAGGGATCTCATGCTACAGGGATTAGACGGGGTTTGATGCAGTGAGATAGCTGCGCCACAAATCTGTCTGCTGCCAGAGAGCCACTGCTTCCACCTCACTGCCTCATTCACACAGTGCTCCTTCGTCAGCCCTGTTGAAAGCATCAGGACTGGATCTGCAAGCTTCCACCACTTTTTAAACGCAACTGACCCAAAGTACGTAACGTGGTCGGAATGTGCGGATATTTTCTCTGCCTTGCTCGTGTTTGTCTTTCCTCGTTTCCATGACACAGCAGGGGGAGTCTTCTCCAAAAGTCTGTGGCTGCTACAGTGAAAGATCAACGCAAGCAGCCGAGGGAGGCTCAGGATGGGCTTTGGTCAGAGAGCCTGCTTTTCTGTGCATGTGCGAGGTCCGCAAAGTTACACAGCCGAAAGGAAAAACCACAGGGAGTCAAAACACCACTCCTTACCTGTCGAGTGGCCGGTTTGGCCCTCGAGCAAAGAAGGAGTGTTCCATCGATGTGTTCAAGGCGCATTTTTAAAGTACTGCACAGAAAACGTTAAAAACAGACCTCGAGATGTTCCTGACTTTATCCAAAAACAATACTGTTGACGTGGTGAACGTTTACCTCCCGACTGATCAGCTGCTCACGTTGGTTTTGTTTCTGTCTCCAAACAGTAAAACATTTTCCAGATTGAAAACATTTCCTAAAGACTTTCCACCGTTTTCCTTAAACCAGACTTTTGTTTCTTCTTCTTGGAGGTCTCGTTTATTCCAGCTACCAGTCAGCCTCTCCCACCACCGAGCAGTGAAGGGAAGCTTTGGTTTTTTTTGCCACATTTCAACTTCGCTCGACAGTCGTATGGAAACGTGGCCTTTGTTTCCTTTTGAACATGTGAACGTATTACAGTCGACTCTAAACCTGTACATGTGCATGCGATGGGTCTTTAAACAAAGGAGCAGGAATCCTCCTGACATGCTCATCCAGCTGCACATCAGCTACTGGTTTAAAGTTTTATCCTGGAAGCAGAGACACGGAACCAGAAAAGCAAATTAATATCTGGCTCGTCTGGTATTGAGGGCGCTGCGCTCGTTACCCTTGTTTTAAAGCTTTGACTGACAGTGCAGCATGATGTTTTATTCTAATTACAAGACTAGCGACACTGAGGAGTCTGAAAACGTGACATTTAACCGTCTGAGGCTCTAAATGTTTAGAGACAGAAAATATATATGTTCAGGGTAATAACATGTTTCATATATTAGCGCACAACGTTGCAGCAACAAAAAGCAAAAATGCATCAGCATCTACACCTGCAGGTCTAACCTTCCATATGCATACGTTTGCTCCATTTGTTTGCCTTTAAATCTTAAATATTACTATATGAGGGGAACACCAACACTTTCCTTCTTTGCACACTCCTTGAGTTTAGCTAATTTCCCCTCGGCGACGGTCGCAGGCTGCTGGAAACTCACATCTCTGTCTCCGTCCTGTCAGATGTGTCCAGAGCAACATTGTTCTGCTCACCCAGGCCTTCAGGAAGAAGTTTGTCATTCCAGACTTCCAGCCCTTCTGCGCCCACATCGACGAGCTCTACGATACCGCCAAAAACATGTCGGGAGGTCAGGTGAGTGGAGCCTGCTGGAAGGGCCGCCGCAAGCACGACAGGAAACATTCCTCACTTTCCCCTGTAGCCTCCTCTGAAGTCATTTTACTTCAACTTGTTGATGAAGCTGATCTTCAGTTTCATCACCAGAAGCTTTGAGATTCTTTAAATTCATGTATTTTTGTGAACGTAGTCAGAATTTGCAGTTTCTCAGCAGCAGCATGATGTTGGAAACTAAAGATGCGTTTAGTTTCCCCGGCTGGACTGCAGATTTGGACTGACTGGAGTGTTTGTAGTTTGAGAATCGCGGTTCATGATTTGCAGACGTGTTCCTGAATCTGATGGAAATGTTTTTCCTACTTCGTGCTGCAGGTGGCGGACTACATTCCCCAGCTGGCCCGCTTCAGCCCAGACCTGTGGGCCGTCGCCCTGTGCACGGTGGATGGACAGAGGTACGGTAAACAGCTTTGTTCTTTACATAAAGTACAACGTCGCGGTTATTCGGCACATTTTTGGACGTTTCATGGATTTTTCATGTGGCTGTCAGGTGTCAACAGGGCTTCCTTTCTTAGTAATGTTTTCAGAAGAATACCAAACCGCAGCACAGTTTTCCTCGTTTTTTCCTTCCTCTGCACTTTGCGCTCATTAGCGGCCGTCAGCAGATGCTCAACTCCAAACTAATTCATAGAACGGGCTTTACAGAGGAAGCCAGTCCATGAACAGGGAAAAAAGAGGCCAGATGATCACAGGACACACAAACGGAGCATCAGCATTTCTTTGGAGAAATGTCTGAAGTGTTGCAGCTTCAACTGGTCAACAATCCCTTTAAGGCTGGTCGTGACAAAGGACGACAACAAATGTGTGTTTCTCTGTCTCAGGCACACTGTCGGCGACACCAAGGTTCCCTTCTGCCTGCAGTCCTGCGTGAAGCCGCTGAAATACGCCATCGCCGTCCACGACCACGGCACCGAGTACGTGCACCGCTTCATCGGCAAAGAGCCCAGCGGCCTGCGGTTCAACAAGCTCTTCCTGAACGAGGACGGTGAGGAGACGGTCGCTCACACGCTCAGCTCTCGTGGCCCGGTTGCCATGGAGCTTTGATAAATTGTTAATGAGAGGTTGCAGCTCGGTAGCTAAATAAAACCGAGTGGCCAGTGTGTAAGACACGTAGTAAGCTGCTGCTCTTTAGAAACCACCTGAAGTGGCTGCACAGGTCTGCTTGTGAATTCTCGGGTCTGAAATGAACCAACGACGGGAGGCTGGAAGTGTGAGATTTATTAAAATAACAAAAAAGAATGTGAAGCGGTACCAATATTTATCACAGCATGAATTTATTTACTTATTCCGTTGAGCTTAAAGACTCCTGAAGCTTTCATTTTGCTGTTCGTGGCTACAAACACAAGAGGAAGCGTAAGAAGTCTGTTGAAGTTTCAGGTGATGAACAGTTTGTTGGATCTCCTGTTTGTTGATGCAGGGTTTTGACAGAACGAACGATAAGCCAGTCGGCCCACTTGTGGCCAACGAGGACTTTAAATATCCAAAGTATCGTCACATCTTTATCTCATTCATAAAAAAGAGCTTTGAATGTGAATCTGCAGCCATTTCTAACTGTGATTTAGGTGCTCAGACGATCCAGCTGTTTCAGGATGAGATCTGTCCTTTCTTAACTGACTCCCATGTGAGGTCCTCCTGGCAGTGTTGAACAATAAAAACATCAATTTCTAGTTTTCCAGTTGAAGGAATGTTATTTGTTTATTGAGATGTAGTTTTTATAGAGCACCAGAGAGAAGCGCTGCATCGGTAGTCTCACTGGATTAACCCGTTGTTTTGAATCTCGTGTGAACTTCCGGATCCAACTCATCGAACGTTAACTGAACGTTGCTTAAACTAACTGACACCAGAAGATGCCGACGTGGCTGCATTTCGTTCCCACGGAGGACGGAAAAGTCGAGTGTGAACTTCTGTACATCACAGTCAACAGCTGACACCCTAATAATCATAATAATAATTTAAAAATAAAGAGTTCTGCTGCCGGACAACAAGGACGTCCACAAAGACTTAAAATAATGTGACATGAACTGTCTTGTTAGCCATAATTTGATCTGCTGCCTCTGTTTTCTATGTTTGGTCATTTCCCCGTGAACAATTCCGACATCTGAACAGCTGCAAACCTTCGATTTACATTCTAGAAACACCGCAGAAAGAAACGCAGTTCATTCTCGACCCACGTTGGACGGAGCTGATCTTCTGGCTGTAGTTTGAGTCGTCGCTCCGTCCTGTGCAGCAGGCGTGACTTTAAAGCCTGTAAAAGTTGCTGTTTTCTGACTGGACCCTGGTGTGAGAACGTTCCCGGGTTTCCTCTCTTTGTTGTTGCCGAGCAATGTTCCTGCTGTTTATTGTTGCCTTCATGTTTTTTCCCACATTGTTGGTTGCATAAGAAGATTAAAACACGGAGGGGAAGCGGTGCGACGCTGTGTTTTTAGTTGCGTGGATGTCTGTTGGTGGGGGTTTAGTTATTATTATTATAGTCATGCTCGCTCAGTGAATTCGTTTGTTTTGTGTTTTACTTTTTTGTGTCCATGATATTCCTCGTTCACTCTCTCAATAAAAAAACGTCTTTTGGCTCCTCTGTGCCACAGATAAACCCCACAACCCCATGGTTAATGCCGGTGCTATCGTCTGCACCTCCCTCATCAAGGTAGGCTGCATTCACACACCCCACCAATAGGTATTTATGATCATAACTGAGTTTCTCAAATGCAAAAGAAGGAATGTATGTGATTAATTTTTTTCCCTCATTTTGTAAAAATTGTGAAATTTCTTGTTTTGTACCTTCAAAGGTTTTATTTTGCTGCTCCGGCTCGCGACTCTTCTCTTTAAAATGCCTTTTTACAGCTGAGTTCTGCATGTCCATGAAGCTAAAAAGTTAAAGAGAATCTGTCTGCAGAACGTGTTTCCGCCAGATTACTGTATACAGGCAGATTAAGGTTATAGATAATCATGCTGAAAGGGGATTTGGTTGAAAGCGGCATCACACAGAGTGCAGAGTGGGCGGAGATGGAGACGGCGCAGCATCTCCCAGGCAGGTCGGCTCGGCCACGTTTCCAGTTTTAATCACGGGTCTATTACCCGAGTGTTTCCTTAAATATCCTCCTCTGACCTCCGATGAAAACACCAGAGCACCACCTGCTGATTGAAGACCTTAAAAAACCACAGCGCCTTCCTCAAGTGGCCAGTGAGGCTCAACAGGAGTCCGCGAGGGCTTCCTGCTTTAATTACATTCATCTTGGCAGGAGCTTCAGAGAAGTCGCACAATCAAAAAGTCCTGAGACTGTGCCTGTAAAAACCCTGATCCTGGTGCTCCTAAAACGCTTCCCTGTTCTGGCAACATGTGAGCACCTCCAGGCCATCACGGCGACTGTTTCCCCTCAGAGGAACCTAATGTCGACACGCTCTGAGGGAATCAAACGAAGAGCCTGGCGCTCCTCACTCGACTTCTCCGATCTTGTAAACTGCGGCTCTAAAACTGTGACAATGATCCTGTAGTTCCTCAGTCTGATCCTCCACCTGCAGGCTGGCTCTTCAGACTGACGCCGGATGTGACGTTTGCTCCACAGGACGGATGTTGACAGTGGAACCGTGACACACTTTGTGCAGACGCAACAGGAACAGTCTCAGGGAATTTTTGATCAAACCACGCACAAGAAAAAAAACCTCTCGAGCCAAAACCTGCGCAGGAATATGCTTTAGAAGAAGCCAAAGCGTAGAAGCCTGGCCCGGGTGTAAAGGGAAGATCGTTCGACCTCCGTGAACAGCGTTTAAACATCCGGAAGCAAAAAAAAAAAAGAAAGTTTATTTGAGAAAGCAGGACATCTTATGCTCTTCACTGCTGGAGATTTGTCTCAGCATCACGTAATTTTGGTTACTCGATTGAAAATAATAATTTAGAGCTTTTAATTATTCCAAATAGTCTCCGAGTCTCTGCAGGAACCCCGGTTGTAATAAACCCAGTATCTTCATTTTCGGCAGCACAAACTGTAAAATCTTCCGTTTAGTGCCATAAATTGTTCTAAAAACGTCATATTTTTTCCACAGAATTGGCAGTTTAACGTCTCGTTTAGTGATAAAAATTATAAAAATACGACACTTTGGTTTGTTTTCTGTTTGTAATTTCGATGAAACCTCGGCACAGTCTTCAGTTTTGTTTCTCCTTTGGGATGAGCACACCAACCATCCGGCGTAGACATTACATGGGCACGATGGTCGGTCGGGAGGCATTCTTTTTGGTGTAAAAATACAACATTCGGGGAAAAGAAAGTGTCACAGTCATTCCCATATGATGTGAAGCCAAACCCTCTGACGCCCGACCCGCTAGGTTTCTGTAGCTTGAGCCACTGATGTGATGATGAAACCAGGTTGGATCCCTCTGCATGCCTTCCCCCCCTGATTTAGATCACTGCAGATACACTCATTTGCAATGTACCTTTTCAAGGCTCGTTGTGTGGTTTTATGTGTTGTTGCATATTTTCCAGCATTAGGATCTTTGGGAAATTATGACCACAGCAACAGGTCAATGACGTTGGTAATTTTTCCTTTTTTAATTATTTTCTCCCCTCTTTGGTCTGGATTTGTGACAAGCTTTAGCCTTCACATGGCTGTTGATGAATGTTTAAGTGTCGCTTTTTATACTTTCCACCTGCATTCACTCCAACAACACTGTTTATACGCCTGGATTATAAACAGTACGGCACAAGCACTGGTTTTATATCATACTCCATTGTCCTGTAGAGAAGGAGCTCTCTTTTGTTCTGTTTTATTATTTACATCCTCAGATTAAAGCCGCTTCTGTTTAGCCGTCAGCGCAGATACGTCCTCTTGTTAAAATTGGCACCAAAAAAAACAAAGACAAAAGCGTTTTGGTGTGATGAAACCCTCGATGTGTGCTCACAGTGCAGCCACACGGCAAACCAGTCTGTCTGCTCTGAATCTGTGAAGCTGGTCCGAGCATTCGTTTACTTTTAGTGCAATTATGTCGTAATGACGTCGTGTTGGTGTCAGAATAAATGATTCTGTACCGGCCCGATTTAGTGTTTAAAGGTAGAAAAAAAAAAAGAAAGAAATAAAATAAAAATGTCAAATAAAGCAGTAAAAATAAGGTAATTTAATGTGAAATATGTCAGATTTTTATTTTTTTTGTGAACTAGAAAGGCATGTCAGGCTCCTACATTTCCCATAATGCACCAAAACTCTCCTCTTTTTTTGTTGTTAGGCCTTCTCTGCCGCCACTCCATCATCGCTTTTTTTGTGTTCCCTCCCGACTGAATAACTGACTTTAAAACTGCCCCTTTAGCCCTTATTGATCGGCCCCTGACTCTCTGATCAGCTGGCTCGCAGTGTGATCGCACCGTCGGCGTCGGTGAAGTCGCTCTGTAGTCTAACGTACGCGTTACTGCAGTACCGTTTCACTCTGAAGTCAGTTTGATTTAAAAAAAAAAAAAAAGGCTTTCTTTGATACTTCTCATGGTTTCTCTTTTATTTTCCAAAACCAGAACCCCTGAGTGGATTAACCGTTTTATTTCACCTCCTCTCCATCTCCAGCTAGTCTCCCACCTCTAATCTTAATTCATCCGACGTCATGACTGAATGGCCTTTCTGACTGGTCACATGAGTAGTCGTGTAAACTTGCACTGTTTTCCTGTCGTAGCTTAATATCCTAGAGACATGTTTCATATCCAGTAGTGCTAATGTCGTGACTTGGGTAACTCTTTGATGTGATTCACCTGCTTTCACACGTCTCGTTTCAGTAAAAAACGTGATTTGCGTCTGTTTGTGTTTTCAGCAAGGAGCAAGCAACGCCGAGAAGTTTGATTACGTGAGTCTCATTGTCTCGTTTGACCCGCTGATAACATGCTGATAATTGTTCAAATGAAATCTGGACTGTTTCTGATTCATGAATGACTTGTTTGACGTGTCAGGAGTCAGAAAATCGCATTAACATGTCTGAAAATTAAACAAAACACAGCAAATGTTCGCTCTGTGAAGGCTCTGCATTATGCATTCATATTTGAAATAGTGAACAAATCAAGCTGCTAATTAATTAACATTTTGTGTTTTTAGGTGAAAGACAGGAATTAAAAAATACACAATAAAATACGTAAGAACAATATTCAGAAGTGCAGCAGTTACGAACATCACGCACGAGGAAAGTCTGCGGTCCTTTTGGTAGATAAACAACAGAATAAACAGAAGAACGGTATAAAGGGATTTTAATGATGAACTGAGTTAAAGATAAATCAGTCTCTGGCTCGTGGCCTCCGTGTGCCTTTAAATTTTCCTTATTTTTCTTATTTCATCTTAAACTTTGGTCCTGTAGCGTCTTATCCTGTTGTTAGACAGTTTTATTCTCTTGAACAGACGAACTGCTTTTGTCTCTCCTTGTTGTTGCCGGTAACACGTGCAGCACTTTAAATAAACTCAATTTGATTTGGTATAAATGACGACATGCTTCGTTCAAGTGGTCTAAGACGTGAAAAGAAGTGAAAACTTTTTGAATATTAACCGAGGATGTGGTTGATGATGGAAAGCGATCAGGAACAGTCCAGTGCGTTAAATCTGCTGCTCTGCTCTGCAGGTGATGAACTTCATGAACAAAATGGCGGGAAACGAGTACGTGGGCTTCAGCAACGCCACGTGAGTGCAGCAGACATCAAAACTCTGACGCTCTACTGAAGGACTTGGAGTTCGATCCAACGTCACGCAGCAACGTTGGGAGACAAAATGTCTCCGTGTGAGTTTATATAACATGAGCTGAGTCACTGTGTTCAAAGCACAAACCTCCTGCTGCTCTCTCTGTGTCCCAGTTTCCAGTCAGAACGAGAATCCGGAGACAGAAACTTTGCCATCGGCTACTATCTGAAGGAGAAGAAGGTGAGGTCAAACGCCGTCTGAGAGCTGAGTTAATACATCCTCAGAGTAAAACGTTGTGATGGTGAAGCAGCTGAGACCGTTTTAATGCTCACTCCTTCAAAATAAAAGCATCCATTGGCCATCATTTGGCTGTGTTTAGTTCTACATGTTCTTGTTGTTGGTTTGCTTCTGTTTACACGTTTTATTGCAGCGTCATTCTTTCCTGTTGCTCTTTCTGTTTGTTATTCTCCTTTTATTGTCATGATTTTATTCGTTTTCGTCCCTTAGAGCTGTGGATAGCAGCAGATGCTTCGCTGCTCAGCGTCTCACCGTGTTTTTGTCCTTGCAGTGTTTCCCGGAGGGCACAGACATGACCGCCATCCTGGACTTCTACTTCCAGGTAAGTACAACTCAGGAGAAGGTGGAACTGAGTACAAAGTTTTATGATTCAAGTTTAGGTTTTAGACCAACTGATGAGCTGTTAAATGTGTAGATTGGTTGCTGATTAGATTTATTTTAGAAATCAGCAATAAGAAGGAGAAGACTCCTGCACTGGATTCAGATTTTGGTTCATGTGTTGGTTTTTTTTTATGTAATCGTGACTTAACGGGTTTGTAGCGCTCACATTCTGGCTGTAATACCCCAACAAAGACACAAAGCCAGGCGTGAAAGCAGCGTTCTCATTTTATTTCTTCTTCCACATCAGCTGTGCTCCATCGAGGTGACCTGTGAGAGCGCCAGCGTCATGGCGGCCACTCTGGCCAACGGCGGCTTCTGTCCAATCACGGGGGAGCGCGTGCTGAGCCCCGAGGCGGTGCGAAACACTCTGAGTCTGATGCACTCCTGCGGCATGTACGACTTCTCCGGCCAGTTCGCTTTCCACGTCAGTATCCCGCCGCCTATTTGACAAGACAGAGTCACAGGGTTTCACGGGTTGTGTTAAACCCAGATGAGCCTTTAATAAGCCCACCACGGCCAAAAGATGCAAACGTTTAGGGAATGTAGTGCAAACATAAACCAAAACATGCAGAAGTACCAGTTGTAGAAATAAGAGTGTGGCACATGTCGATGCTCAGAGTGTTGTCTTTGCTGCACAGAAGTAGAAAAATACCAAGAAGATAAGATAAGATAGACTTTATGGATAGATGGATGGATAGATGGATAGATAGACGGATGGATGGATGGATGGATAGATGGATGGATGGATAGATAGATAGACGGATGGATGGATGGATGGATAGATTGATGGATGGATAGATAGATAGATAGACGGATGGATGGATGGATAGATAGATAGATAGATAGATAGATGGATGGATGGATAGATGGATAGATAGATAGATAGATAGATAGATAGATAGATAGATAGATAGATAGATAGATAGATAGATAGATGGATGGATAGATGGATAGATGGATGGATGGATAGATAGATAGATAGATAGATAGATAGACGGATGGATGGATGGATGGATAGATAGATAGATAGATGGATAGATAATTCCTCTTGGGGACATTCAAGGTTTCCAGTAGCTCATGCAGGATACATACAACATAAATAAGAAAGCATTGTACAATAGAAGATGTAATTAGTAGTAATAATGACTGTATTGTTCCTTTAACAGCAGCGTTCACAAGTCAGAACATGCAAACACAGAGACAATCAAGCAAGACCTCAGGAGAGCAGGCAGAGCATCAATAAGACACATAATAAAAAGGATAATAATAAGTTAAGTGAATAATTAGCTAGATTAGGACGCACAGCAAGCTAAGGAACAAGCAGTTTAAAAACTGAAGATTAAAAGTTAGAGATTGAAGAACTAAAGACGACATCACGGCAGCTACAGTTAACATAAAGCAAGAGAGAAGGTATGAAATAAACAGGCAGATAATACAGAATAATGGTTAAACGTGCAATAAACATGCAAATGTGCTGGTTGAAGGAATAAAAATAAGATGTTGAAAATGGCACAAAAAATGTTTGTATTTACAACAGGGTGTAAAGTTGGTGGTATTTACCATAAAGTGGGTTATTATAGAGCATAAACGGTGCATGTAGGAGGGCTGTGGTGGTGCCTGGGCCTCAGCAGGATCACTGCTTTGCTGGAGAAAGCTAGACGACACACTGGGTTTTTAAAGGTACAGAAGACTGAACCTGACACATCCAAACACGCTCAAAGTCATCCTCCGTCTTCTGTCTCAGGTGGGCCTGCCGGCTAAATCCGGTGTCGCCGGCGGCATCCTGCTGGTCGTTCCCAACGTGATGGGCATCATGTGCTGGTCTCCTCCGCTGGACAAGCTGGGCAACAGCGTCAGAGGCATCCAGTTCTGCACGGTATGCCTGCACGCGTTCAAGGAATCTGTATTTATCTGAACGATGTCCAGTGAATTAAAAACCGCCCTGAAAGTTTCTGAGCTCGTCACAGAACGGCACATTTTTACATATCTGTGGTCTAAATGACAGAGTTTCAGTTGAAATAGTTGCAGAGTGTTAGCTTTGGTGATTAGTCTTTGCATGTGTTTTATGTGAACAGTTTCTTTTAAAGCTGTAAAGATGAAAAGATCGTTATGATGCAGGTCTGAGTTGCCCGATGACCTCCAGTCTTAAAGCTTCTGTTCGGTGTGAAAATCATTCCTGAATGTTTCTTCTGTTCAGGACCTGGTGTCCCTCTGCAACTTCCACAACTATGACAACCTGAGGCACTTTGCCAAGAAGCTGGATCCTCGCAGGGAAGGAGGAGACCAGAGGGTGAGTCTCGCCGGATACCATCATTATTCACTTCCTGTGCAGCTTCCTGGTTAGTCCATCACATCCCCGGTCGTTCAGCTCTGGTATGAGACGTCTCTTTAGCAGGCAGTAAAATCCATTTGAGCCTGCGTCATGCTCTCCACAGTGGCGGCTGTGGAGGAATTTGATCCACAGCGCCACCTGCTGGACAAACACAGCACCACCTCCGCTCATTGTTCAGAATGTGTTCGGTTTTCATTCTTGATTCAGGTTCGTTCTCTGCTCCTCAGATCGACATGCACAAGTTTCAGACGTTGAATGTGTTCTTCTTATTTCTGCTGCTTCCTGTGTTTCAGGTGAAGTCTGTGATCAACCTGCTGTTCGCTGCCTACACAGGAGACGTCTCGGCCCTGAGGAGGTACGCCAGCGGTTGAAATCCCCAGCAGCCTTTTGCTCGTTGTTTCCAGACTCTCTGATGTTTGCTGTTGTCCGTGCAGGTTTGCGTTGTCGTCCATGGACATGGAGCAGCGGGACTACGACTCCAGGACGGCCCTGCACGTGGCGGCTGCAGAGGGTGAGACACAGACCAGAGCGCCGATTGTGTGTCAATGAGTCGGCGTGTTGTGCGTTTGCGGTGCTGACGTGATGTCGGTGTGCGTTTCAGGGCACGGCGAGGTGGTTCGCTTCCTGCTGGAGGCCTGTAAAGTCAATCCGGTGCCCAGAGACAGGTATGAAGACAGCCGGTCGATCCGCAGAAATGTTACACGTTCATTACACTTGATGGGAAAAGAATTTGAATCCCTGCAGCTCCAGACAGTGATCACAGGAGTTCATCCGTCCTTCACTGTTCTGCTGCTGATGGGCGTCCACGCCGGGTTCATTTACTCACGATTTCCTCTTAAACGCAGTTGAAAATGTGATATAATCAGATATAAATGTGATTTCTAAAGTTTTAAAGGTTGCTGCTGTTTTGTTTTCTTTTGTTCAGTCCAGAACTTAAAGATGTTTTCTGTCATATTTAAGACAAAAACGTGTATTTCGTTGCTAAAATCAGCAAATCTTCACATCTTCACTGATGCAGCTCCATAAAATTAATTTATCGTTTTTAATTGACTAGATTGGACAAACATGGACCACAGCAGCTCCACATTTAACAGTTTGGTTGTTCGGTGACACTAAATATGTCATTTGTCACAAATAAAATCAGTCGCTGGTCTTAAACATTTAAACTATAAATATTGTTCCTGAATAATATTATTTTACAATCATTTATTTCAATATTTGATTAAAAAAAAGATTTGAGATGGATTTTATTTTACAGAATTCATTTTTTATTTACAGTCCAGCTGGTTTCAGGATGCGTGAAGCAGTTGAGGGGTTGTTTTAGTGATTTCAGACCTGCTAATGACCTGTTTTTTACTTTAACTGTAGAGTTTAAGTGTCTTTTCTGAGAGACATCAGGCATCAGAACAAGGAAATGCTGCAGAAATTAGTCACGATTTTAGTGGGAATAGAAATTTTCTTCCCATAAGAAACAGAAAAATGGATAAAAATTGAATACACAGAAGATTTTTTTTTTTTTTGCTGAGGATGTAACTTGTAGGCCGAAATGTGATAGAAGTCCAACAACGTGTGGCTCAGATGGATTTAAACAAACGCTTGCGATGATGACGGGAGGTAAAGGGCTGTCCATGTGTCCGCTGCAGGTGGGGCAACACGCCGATGGACGAGGCGGTGCACTTCGGCCACCACGACGTCGTGACCATCCTGCGCGACTACCACAACAAGTACAGCCCTCAGGAAAGCACCGACGACAAGCAGAACGCAGAGAAGAACCTGGACGGGATGCTCTGATGGAGGACGAGTGTGTGAGGACGGTATGCTCTGAGGGAAACCAAGAAACATCCACACGTAGACGCAACTCAACTGTATAGTGAAAAAAAAAAAACCCTTTATAGACCGAGTTAGAAGAACAGAAACCCCTTAAAAAAGCCCTTAAGTCCAGGGCAGCCGCCACCCTCGTGCTGTGAACGCTCCTCATCATGTTGTTATTAGGTGTTGTTGGGTTTTATATCACCGTCTGTTCTCTGAGTGGGGGCTGTTTCGGTTCTCATTTCTCCTTGTGTGTGTAACTGTTAGCTGGTAGCCGCCTGCTACGCCATCATGTGCTGTTCATTGTGACGACAGACGGTTTCCTCACTTCATCATCACGGTGTGGTGGAATGTATCTGGAATGTGTGCGTGCTATTTATTCATCTCTGTAAGATAAACTGTACAGTCGTGTAGTGAGTGTGTGTGTGTGTGTGTGTGTGGGAGGAGGTCGGTCGGTGTAAATAGGTCCGGGTGTGTAGCTCCGTCTGCTCTGGTGCGATCAGGAGGTGTGACGTCGTTACACCAAAACCCCGGAAACCGAAGTTTGAGGCGAATATTTCCTGCTTTAAATAGTGAAACATTCAGATTAGAAGCTTTTTGTTCTCTGAAAGCCTAAAACTGGACTTTTTGTTGTTTTTTTTTTAAACTCTTTTGTTGTTGTATTTACTTTTTTTTTTGTAAAGTAAGGAAATCGTGTTTAACGGCGTCTCCTGACAGTTGAAAGAGTTTCTACATATCACACGCGACACTGCCGACGCTCCTGAACGACTGCAAAGAGCCGCCAGCGACGAATCCAGTCACGTTGTTTCATCGTTCGACATCTCGGCACGCAACGAACCGCACTCAGCATCGGAAATAATCCAGTTTTTAAAGTCTCTGAAAGTAATCGTGAGCCTTGGATTGAAGGTTTTCTTGTCTTGACTGCAGTGACGTCATCCACCAGCTGCCCGAGGCGCTTTTATCCATGGATACAGAAACACCTGAACACTACATAAGACCTGCTGCTGCATGTTTATAGTCTTAGTTAAAAAAACAAGGGCGTCAACTTCATTGAGGTTCAACCTCAATAAAGTTGACACCCTTGTGCATAAACTTTACAAACATTGATTGAAGCTCGAAAACATCCTCTGATCTTCATCTCGCTGCACGTTTGTGTCAAAGAAATCCTCAAATCTGAAAAACTTGATGGAATTTTAGGCTTTAAACTCCGAGTGCACCTGAACGCATCGTGTGTAGAAGTGTTGGGTTTTAACAGAGGCAGACAACGAATCTGTTTCTGGAAAGATCCAATAATATGAAAAAAAAATCAATCAAGAAAACGGTATTAAATTTGTGTTTAAATGTTTACGTCACCTCCACGTGCACCGAACAGTCGTGAATCTGTTTTCTAGTTGCATTTGGTTTTGTGAATTTAAAGAAAAAAAAGAAGGTGTTGCTGAGGATTCTGTCGAGTAAATCTGTCCGAGGCTTTTCTTTAATTCACTGAACCTGCAGGAAAACGTGAGGAAGAAGAAAATACGGAGGTTTCAGAAACGAGTTCATGGATTCTGAAGGACAAATGAAGTCTGAAGTGTTTTCAGACGCCTGAAATGTTTCCTTTGTTGAGTCTCTCTGTTCGTTTGCTGCTCTGTGATGCGTCTCGTGAGTTCGGAGGGTTCGTACGTGAACGCCTGTTCCCGAGACTGAAGCAGATTTCTGACGATTTGTAGCGTGCAACAGAATCCGTCATACTTGAAGCATTGTGCAGACGTTTTCCAGATGTTTTTTTTTTCGTTTTGCGTGCCGGACGTCTCGACAATCCAAACTTAAAGATTTCAAACTTTTAAAACTTCCTCGGGCCGGAATCAGCTCGTCCAGTTTGGTTTCAAATTGTTAATTTAAAGAAACGTGTGGAGCAGTGAGAGCGCCACGTTACTGAAATAAAGCAACGAAAGAATAATAAAATAAAAAGAAGAATAAATAAAATAAAAAGTAAATAATGTGGCAATATTAATCA